AACAATTAAATTATTTTATAAACGACGACAGTTCTTTGTCAAACAGAATTTAGTACTGTATAATATTACTGAGTTTCTCACAAAAGTATTCGATGCTTTTTAGAAGCGACACTTGTTGAGAATAGCGAATCTAATCCTTTATAAAGAATTAAATCCTTTTTAAAAACAATAGATATTAACAATATCAAAACCAAAGCCCTATGAAATCACCGAATATCCAATATAATAATTCAAACATTTTACAGACGACAATTCCTTACAAAAGCTTCATCAGATCTTGTATAAAGACTCTCCACCATTCAGTCGACCCCAGAACACTCATAAAGGCATTTCGATCCCCTATTAAGACATCAAATCCCTTCTGACACCCAGACTATCACCACCTCCGCCACGTCGCCTCCAAACAAAAGAGATTCGATCCTATTCCCGGCTATTGTGAGGGTGTGAATGCTGCCCACATACCCACCGTCAACCACACAGTATTGGTAGTGAATGAAGGTAGTCACCCTTCAATGATTGACGATTTATTTCCATGAATGAAAAATGTATTTACCTTAGCGATGAATTTTTTCCTCTTGATGATTTATTGTTTCTGTAAATGAAGAATTATTTACAATTATTTCCTTGAATTAGTGGCTGTTATTTCCATGAATAAATAATAATGTCTGCGAATGAAAGATTATTTCTCTGAATATATTACATGTCTAAAAAAACGACAGACAGACAGGCAGACAGACAGGCAGACAGACAAGCAGGCAGACAGATAATAGCAGTAGAGTGATCAGGTCAGTGTCGGTCAGGTCAGGGGAGAACAAGTCATACCAACAGGTAACACTAAGGGCTAACTGGACCTGACCTGACCTGGTAGAGTGGTCATGCCAACAGGTAACACTAAGGGCTAATTGGACCTGACCTGACCTGGTAGAGTGGTCATGCCAACAGGTAACAGTAAAACCCACTTGTAATTACACTAATGACAGGTGAGCAAGAGGAGGTATTACAGGTGGATAGAAAACGCAATATGCAGATAATGTTGTGTGATATGTACCGCGAGAGGGAGGGGAGGAGAGAGTGAGGGAGAGAGGAAGCGATGGAGGAAGGAGAGAGTGAGGGAGAGAGGAAGAGAGGGAGGAAGGAGAGGGAGGTGGTCAATATCTGGGCCACACGTAATGTCAACCACCCGGCAGAGGGAAAGTGTGTGTGTGTGTGTGTGTGTGTGTGTGTGTGTGTTTGTCCGTGAGAATATTCAAAACACAATACGAATTTACACACACGCACACACACACTCACACACACACACGCACGCACAACAAAACAAACAAACTAAGGCTGAGAAAACAACTTGGGTCTAAATGAAGTAAAGTTTCACCTTTTATTATGTACCGCACGCAACACTGTCGGGGGGTGGAAGGAGGAGAGGGTTGAGACAGAGGAGAGAGAAGAGAGAAGAGAGAAGAGGGAGGTGCATGAGTAGGAGGAGGAGGGGGGGGGTGGGATGAGACAGGGGAAAGGGGAGATGAAGGGGTAGGAGGAGGAAGAGGAGAAGTGAGAAAGAAGAGGGGGAGGAGAAGGAGTGTGAGGAAGTGGGTGATAGGGGTGTTATGGAGGGAGGGGAGGGGGAGTAGAGGGGTGTAGAAGGGAGGACTAAAAGGGGGGAATCAAATAACAAAAGAAAAAAAAACGACCGACATTGATAACTTGATCAAACAAACTTTTTTCATCCACAAAGACAAATTACAAAAGTTTATAAAAGTATTAAGGGATTTTGTAAAGTGTATTGAAGGAATTTTTTATGGTTTGTTGTGTTATAATCATTGTATAAATTTAGCTGCTTGTAGTACTTCTGTTTTGTTAATGATAATAATAATAATAAAAATAATAATAACAAGAATAATAAAAGCACAGCGATAATAATAACAATAACTGCAATATATTGTTGAAGTTATAATATATCAAATATAATATTATACACAAGATACGCAAGTCTATATACCCAGGCAATATAATTTAAGTGTTCCTATAATATATAAACCAGAGTATATTTTATTTATTTATATCTCGGCTCTCTAGCTTAATTCAGTGAGGTAAAAAGGACATAGTTTTTTCTAGTAACTATTTTTGTTTTGGTGTTAATTAAACCAAGTCTGGCGTGAGTAACTAATCACACGGCTTAAACATAATGATCATATTGTGAAAACTGTGTGAATAGCAGAGTAACCCCCTCTCTCTCTCTCTCTCTCTCTCTCTCTCTCTCTCTCTCTCTCTCTCTCTCTCTCTTATCCGTTTTCTTTTTTCTCTCTCACTTCCCCCTTTCTTTAATTTTTTAGTGGTTGTATGGTTTTCTTTTTTCCATTTTTTCTCGTTTTCTTTATTACTTTCGTGAGCATCCATTTTCCTTCTGTTTTGGCGGGTTCCCACTTTCTCTCAAATTGATTTACACACACACACACACACACACACACACACACACACACACACACACACACACACACACACACAAAATAACTATAATCTCAGATATCCTAACCATTAAACACTATAATGCTTCACTGTTTGATCCCTTAATCTTGTAGCGCCAGTTAAAGATTACCGGGAAAATTACTTTCTACTTCATTAGCCAATTACCACACCAAAATGGCCTCTTTCCCCTCCGGTTTTTGTGAGGGGAGGAAGAGAATGTAAACAATGCGTCCGAACGTTGTGATTGGTCTTGACTTCGACTGCGATTGCGGTTTTGATGCTTCGATATATACAGTATATATATATATACACACAGCTATACGGACAGACACAGAGAAAAACAGACAGACAGACATAGAGAAACAGACAGACAGCCACCCAGACAGATATACAGAGAAACAGACAGACAGAAAGACAGCTTCCCACATAGATATAGAAACAGACAGCCGTTAACAGGACGAGAGAAGGAGTTGGAGGAAAACCAACAGAAAGCCATCAGGACTGTCCTACTGTTGACTCAAGTGCCCAAGTTATCACCAGATGGGAGGGGGAGACGGAAGGGGTGAGGAGGAGATGGGGGAGGGAAGGAGGAGATGGGGGAGGGAAGAAGGAGATAGGAAGGGTGAGAAGAAGATGGGAGAGGTGAGATGGATAAAATGGAAGGGGTAAATGATGGGAAGGGGGAAGGAGAAGATGAGAAGGGATGGTAAAAGATGAGAAAGCGAAGATAGGAGATGGAAAGGCGAACGTGGGATAGGATGGGACGGACGATTATATAAAATAACCAAAGCAAAGACCATAAGTGAATTTGCATATCATTAACTTAATTTACCCGGAACCTAATTAACCTAACCTAACCTAACGAATACGCCCACCCCTCCCCATCCCCGCTCTGCCCCTACCCCCCACCCTCCTCCATCCCCGCTCGCCCTACCCCTCCACCTCCCCAACCCCTCTCCTTACCCGCCCCCCCACCCTCCCCCAACCCGGCCTCACCCTCACACTGAACACAAACGAATATATGCCCTGATATATATCCTCAATTTTTATACCCTGTCTATATTTGTAGCGTAACAAGATTCCCGGAGAGCCAACGACACACACACACACACACACACACACACACGCGCGCGCTGGATGAGAGCTTTATGTGGACCCCCGCTGAAGAACGCTGATGGAAATCCTCGTTCAAGTCGGATTTGTCGATGCGGATTTCCCCGGATTTATTGCACAATGGTGGAGCAGCGAATGCCATTGGGATTTTTTGGTGAATGGTTATTGAAAGTCCTACTGACAGGGAGGGCGGGGTGGGGGTAAAGGAAGAAGTAGAGGTCATTGGAAGAAAAAAAATATCGTTATTATTATTTTGTTTATCCAGAGTCTATTGTTTATATCAATAGATTACTGTTAGTGTGTTTATACTCTCTCTCTCTCTCTCTCTCTCTCTCTCTCTCTCTCTCTCTCTCTCTCTTTCTCTCTCTCTGTCTAATCTCTGTTACTGTCTGTCCCTCCTCCCCTCACCCCACCCCTTCCCTCTCCTACACCCCACCTTCTTTCTCTCCTTCCCTAATAACCTCCCCACCCTCCCCACCTCCCCTTCCCCCCCACTCTCGCCCTCCTCCTCCTCCTCCTCCACCACAATCAATCACATCCTCCAATCACTTGAATACTACGCATCTCCTCCTTCAGCTCTTAAGGGCGAGGTTCGTATCTCAGAGGAAGAGGTCGTTATCAATGCAGAAAAAAGGACTTTATCTCTTACCGCTTTCTCTACCTGATCCTTGAGTCGAGATTTACATTATTATTGATTCTTGTTCGAGGAGGAGCTTTACCACTAGGTCCCCCTCAAGATCTTTTACCTCGAGGTTTGAGTTATTCTTCTAAAGCCTTTGATGTCTCTCTCTCTCTCTCTCTCTCTCTCTCTCTCTCTCTCTCTCTCTCTCTCATTATCATATTATCGACAATTATTCTTTACTTTCTCTTCATCATTACCAATATAGAAACAGAAGATATAGTATGATCAAGGTAAGGCAACAGGTATAATTTTCTGGATAATGATACACCTAAGAATAAATTCCACCTTTGACAGCTTGGTGGTCATGTTGTGTTGGCGACCAGCTGATGAAGTGGTGAGAGGAGGGAGGAAGGCACGGAGGAGGAGAGAGGTTGGTAGGTGGATGGGCGAGTGGGAAGGAAGGAAGAAAATGGGAAGAGAGAGAGGTGACCTGGATGTGGGCTGCCTGGGTCACTCGGTCCTCCTGGGTTCGGATTCACGTACCACTTAGGGTCGGGTTCGGGTAAAACAGTGAATCCCCCCGTGGGTTGAGTGCACTTTACTTACCTGCTCCAGCCAATAGAAACTTTGATAGAGAGATGGTTGTAGCGTAGTGGTGAGAGAGAGAGAGAGTAGTCTTAGATAAATATTTTTGATTTGTAAATAATTAAAAAAAATAATTAAAATTTTGTCTTCTTTATATTGTTCAGATGTGAACTCTCCTTAAAATAATTAATTGGTGTATTTTTTTCTTTCTCTTTTACAGGTAAGTAATTAAAGTGCAGCTACCTGTTGCTTCCTAATTACTTGCTGAACTCTAGGTAAGTTCATTATTGTAAGTTGACTACTTCAAGATGGAGGTAGTGACACACACACACACACACACACACACACACACATTTCCTGATTCTCACTTATTATTGGTCAGGGCAATTAAGACAAATGACCCCTAATTAAACTTTTGATGGTTGAATATTGAGAAGTTGTTGGCCCGTGTTACCAGAAGTTATTAGTGGTAGTTAGTAGTTGTTAGTGGTAGTTAGCAGGTGTTAGTGGTTGTTAGTGGTAGTTAGCAGGTGTTAGTGTTTGTTAGTGGGAGTTAGCAGGTGTTAGTGTTTGTTAGTGGTAGTTAGCAGGTGTTAGTGGTTGTTAGTGGTAGTTAGCAGGTGTTAGTGTTTGTTAGTGGGAGTTAGCAGGTGTTAGTGTTTGTTAGTGGGAGTTAGCAGGTGTTAGTGTTTGTTAGTGGGAGTTAGCAGGTGTTTGTTCGTGGTAGTTGGCTAGTATTGATGGTTGATAGTGATAGTTAGGTGATGTTAGTATTTGGTGTTTGCCTCAAGTATAAAAACACCAGCTACCGTTTTCTGTTGCCAGTTCCATATGAAAACATTTCCCATTTTTATGTCAGAAATATATGAAAACATCCGTCCCCCCCCCCTCTCTCTCTCTCTCTCTCTCTCTCTCTCTCTCTCTCTCTCTCTCTCTCTCTCTCTCTCTCTCTCTCTCTCTCTCTCTCTCTCCCTCCCCGAGTTGTTTGTCCCATATGACAACAGTTCCAGTTTTCAGTTGCCAGGCTTATAAAACATCTCCCCTACCTTCATTTTCTGTTGCATATAAAAATACTTCCCATTTTTGGTGTATTTCTTTGCCCCCGGTGTAGTGTGAATATTTCACGAGAGTGAGTGGGTGGCCGGGGTGAAGGTCACGCTTTACGAGCTGAGGGCCTCTCTTTACGAGTACGAGCTGAGGGCCTCTCTTTACGAGTACGAGCTGAGGGCCTCTCTTTACGAGTACGAGCTGAGGGCCTCTCTTTACGAGTACGAGCTGAGGGCCTCTCTTTACGAGTACGAGCTGAGGCTCTTTGCAGTACAGCTGGGGGCTCTCTTTACGAGTACAGGCTGGGGGCCTCTCTTTACGGAGAATGCAGGCTGAGGGCCTCTCTTTACGAGTACAGGCTGAGGCCTCTCTTAGCTGAGTGCAGGCTGGGAGCCTCTTTAGTGCAGGCTGAGGCCTCCTTAACGAGCTGAGGGCCTCTCTTCACAAGTACGAGCTGAGGGCCTCTCTTAACAAGTACGAGCTGAGGGCCTCTCTTAACAAGTACGAGCTGAGGGCCTCTCTTTAAGATTACGAGCTGAGGACTTCTCTTTCCGAGTACGAGCTAAGGGCCTTTCTTTACAAGTACGAGCTGAGGACTTCTCTTTACGAGAACGAACTGAGGGCTTCTCCTTACGAGTACGAGCTGTGGGCCTCAACTTTTGTCTACCGAAGAATTTTTACTTCAAAAATAAATCAAAGACTATAACAAAAAGTAATGTTAAAATAATAAAGACTTGAGTTACGTGAGACTGAGGGAGGGAGGGAGGATGAAGGGGTGTATAAGTGCCAGAAGCCTCCAGCTCTTCCAATAGCGGCCAGTCAAAGGGCTCTTCAAACCCTCTCTCGGAGCATCTTGCAGAGGTATCGGAAATACATTACATAACATCAAAGCCATTTTGGTGCATACTCAAAGCCAGTTAAACCCTCACATGTATCCACATGTACACCACATACATACAGGTGAAGATATATACAGTATATGTGTGTTTTATAGCCTATAGATGAGCAAAGTTATCTGAGACATTAAAACATTTGATCATCGTTCGTAATAAGATCACTTATGGTATCCGTCTAGTAATCACTAATCAGTTATAATACACACCTGGTAGTTCACACAACCATATATATCGAGATTAAAGACATTTGGAGGCTGCATTTACCTTCAAAACCATCTTCCAAAGACGAATGAGCATCGCAATATACAAGTAGACCATTGATTCTCCTTTGTTATTTTAAGAGTTTATGTTGTTGTATTGTATCCCATAAAGAAGATTTCATTGTGTATAGAGGCAATGAATCCCCTAGAATCCCTTATAGCGAGTTAGAATACTATATATATATATATATATATATATATATATATATATATATATATATATATATATATATATATATATATATATCTCTTATATATATATATATATATTATATATATATATATCTCATGTAGATCACAATGAAAACGTGGATAGATAAATCTTGATAAAATTACGGGAAAGGGAAACAACGGAGCACCTTAGCTTTCAATGTTTATTCAAGACAGCGAGTTGCACTCTGAAGATGTCTGAATAAGACAGCTTCCATTCTTTATATATTATTTTATCAAGACTATATATATATATATATATATATATATATATATATATATATATATATATATATATATATATATATATATATATATATATATATATATATAAAGCGGAAATGTAGGATTAAAAATGATGTATAGAGGTGTGAAATCCCTTACACCAACACACAAACCCAATCATAAGAGTTAAACCGTTCCCAAGCCTCCGTGATCACCTCGCTCTTGAACTCGTTATCGGAGAAACATCACAAACATATGAGCATCGTAATATCGGGATTCGAGTCTTTGTCCGTGGGAACCCCTTCACCTGGGAGAGTCGAGGTAGCCCCCGGTCGATCACCATGAATCTTGGTCATCTTTCTTCAAACAGCTTTCTCACTTAAAAATTAAATAAAAAATATATAAAATATCTTCCTGTGGCAGCCTAGAGGGTGAGGTGCCAGTTTATCTTTTTATTGTTTTATATTTGTTTGTTTTCTTTAAATTTCACTGTTTTTTAGTTTTATTAGTTTTTATTTTGTGTCAGTTTACCTTCTCTAACGCACGCACACACACACACACACACACACACACACACACACACACACCTATCATATATGTATTTTATATGAAGTCAATTGTTTTATTTTACTTAAGAGACAAATTTCGCGTTAGAAATACAGTTGTCTTTGATGGTGTGTGTGTGTGTGTGTGTGTGTGTGTGTGTGTGTGTGTGTGTGTGTGTGTGTGTGTGTCGTTTGATTGCAACAAGAAAATCCACATCACAATTTTCCCCACACACATATAAGCCATGGATAAATATCTATCTATCTATTTATTCACTGTGTTTTCGTAAGAGATCAGAGTTAGTACATAAAATCAATACACATGCATATATATACCTCTCTCTCTCTCTCTCTCTCTCTCTCTCTCTCTCTCTCTCTCTCTCTCTCTCTCTCTCTCTCTCTCTCTCTAATCGGCTCAAGGTTACATGTGTCGGTGAGCACTGAGACCTAAGCTTCGTGTACAATATGTGTAGTGTACAAGTTACATACTGGATAACGTATACTGTGTACAAGATTCACAGTATACATCATAATATAATGTGTACACCATATATACTGTACATGATATAGTGCACTTCATATAGAGTGTGCATAAAACAATGAACATCATATCCTGTGTACATGATATAATGAGCATCATATATAGTGTACAACAAAAGCAGTATAATACAGTAGTTACGTAATGTACAATGTAAAGTGTAATGTAGAGTATATGGTAAATGTACACGTTGCACTGCAGTACATCAGAGAAGCAGGAATAATGTTAGTATTGTATTAAGAAATATTATACACTGAGAAAATTTAGAGCTATTGTGTTGTAATTCTGATCTGTGGTGGTCGTAACGCCTTACTCACCAAGTTTTAGGCGATAGTTTGGAGGTTTTGCCGATTTTATGATGTTTGGCGATATTTTGAGGTTTACAGCAATTTTTATGAGGTTTTGGGCGATATTTTGAGGTTTGAGGCGATATTATGAAATTTTTGCCGATTTTATAAGATTTTGATCGATTTTATGTGGTTTTGGTTTTATTTTGAGGTTTGGGAGTCAATATTTTTGTTTTTTGGCGATATTCACGAGGTTTTTTGATATTTTTACTAGCTTACTAGCGATATATGCATCACCTATTACTTTCTGCATGTATATCCACCATTAACAGCAGCTGTATTTGATGTTCACTACCGCTACAGCGATACTGACAGAAGGTGTTGGAGTGTTGCGACCTTTCAGATTGTATAAAACACGTTTACATGATGACAGAAAAATGAGTGATTGTATTATGACGACACAATGGTATATGTCAACAGTGCAGAGAGAGACAGACAATGACACACAGAGACAGACAGAGAGAAAGATAAAAAGAGAAAAAGACTGGATCCCATCAGGGTACACGACTAGTGTGTGAGAGAGAGAGAGAGAGAGAGAGAGAGAGAGAGAGAGAGAGAGAGCACCAGACTTTACAGTTGAGGAAATGGAGGTGATCGATTACCCATCTCCTCGTCCTCTCGTGAACACAACTCTACACCCTACACTCTACACTCTACACCCTACACACTACACTCTACACCCTACACCCTACACTCTACACCCTATACTCTAAACACTATTCTCTACATACTACACCCTACACCCTACACACTACACCCGACACACTACACCCTACACACTACACCCGACACACTACACCCTACACACTACACACTACACCCTACACTCTACACCCTACACCCTAAACACTGTTTAGGGTGTAGGGTGTAGTGTTTAGTAAACACTACACCCACACTGCAAGTCACTACGTCTTTTATTTATTATAATTATAAACATTGTCATTATAGCTGACGAATTTTCCCGTAAGAGAAGAAGATAATTATTATGTGAGTTTATTTATCGAGCTGATAAGGTATAATGATGGTGATTAGGCTGTTGGGTAGTTATGGGGGATTAGTGTGTGTGTGTGTGTGTGTGTGTGTGTGTGTGTGTGTGTGTGTGTGTGTGTGTGTGTGTGTGTGTGTGTGGTGTGTGTGTGTGTGTGTGTGTGTGTGTGTGTGTGTGTGTGTGTGTGTGTGTGTGTGTGTGTGTGTTCTCCCCCTCCTC